CAACTGGTGACAGGACGAGAGGGCATGGCCTCTCTAACTACACAAATTTCTATCAGGGAATCTCACCACCTGCTTTCTAAGAAAGTGAAAAACAGTTTACTATTTTAATTTATTTAGGTAGTGCCCAGAATGTTTGAGGTAAAAGCTGACTTTAAATCTTTTTTTAATCACCCCAAGAATTCTTGTGCATCTCTTGTAATTTGTTCTGATAACTGAACAAAAACTTAAAAGAATCCATTAGGTTGAGAAATCCAAACCATCCCCTTATTCCATAACAGAAAGGCTTAACACCAAGAGCAATATTGCTCTCTGAAATGAAACCAGGAATAAAAATGTCATTGAAGGTTATTAAGCTGCCAGTTTCAGTTAATCAAAAATAGTTATGCAGATGAAGAAACTCACCTCATCTATTGTTTCTAAATCTAAGTGCAGACGATTTCGTAAGGAATGAAGCTTTGGCAAGGATATCTTTTCTATATCTCCATAGTTTTTCATGCAAAGCAATGTAGTAGATAGACAAGCAGCTACTTGCGCCTTCAGCTTTTTTAATTTATTTTCCACTTCCTCCTTCTTCTGAAGAGCAAGTTGTTTGTCTGCATCTGCGATGTTAGCACGTTCTTTTGCTTCTTGAGCCTCCTTCTGCCATGCATCGCATGCCTCAGAGAAAGAGATTTCCAGCATATAAAAAGTAGATTTTTTTAAAATTAATAACAGAAGAGCACATTGAAAAGCCTTCAAAGATGCAGGTAAACTCTAATTTTTGACATAACAATGCATTTACTGTCAATTTCAATGTTTCTACCTACTTATCCAACCTACTAATCAACAATTCTCCTTGTTTTGTCTTACTGTGATTTTTAGTTCTGTCACTGTTACTTATCGGTAAACAGCCAGAAGCCTTTCTGGAGCTCTATAAATGGAACACATTTTAAATGTTAAATTCACAATTTAACATCAAGAGATGCCAGAAACTATCGTGATTTAGTACAGCTACTTAGCTACTCTCATCACTGAGAGAACAACGTAAGGGGAAGGACAGGACTTCAGAATATACAACAGAGTGGCAATTATCAACTACCTATACTGTCCAGGTATGCTGTACAATCACAGCTGCTGGCAAGCCTCTACTTTGCTACGTGCTTATCATCTGAAATAGGTACTGGAGGAAATGTATGTCTTTGGTTACTTAAACATCAAGATATATTGCTGCTCAGCCCTATTCTGAATACATGTAAGTGTCCCTGCCTACAGAGACAGAGTAACTTTCAGAAAATGAATTGCCCTTTAAAAAACTTGGTTTCCTTTATGCTGCTAGCTTATTTTGAGGATGGAAAAAACATTCCTTTATCAGATTGTAAAAAAACTCTGGGTCCAAGGATATGAAGATATGTAAAAAGGAAGAGCAGTAGGAGCTGCTTGTTTGTTAGAAAAATACATAAATAATTCAGTATTACCATAAATTAGCATACCTGTTTTACTTGTTGCCAGGATTCTTCCCATTGTTTTAGTTTTCTCTTGGCATCATCAAGTTCCTGTCTAACTCGAGTTAGTTCGTTGCCACTGATTTTTGAACCTATTGAGGGGGTAGTACCACTGCTCAGTACTGGGGATGGACTAGGAGAGAAAGTCCCAGTTACAAAGTCCCAAATGCTTCCTGTAACACCATTTAAATCTGTAAACGAAGGCAGAAAAAAACAATCGTTCAGCACACACTGCTGCAAAACATTTCATATGCAGAAAAAAACAGATATGCCACATGCAAAATTTGTATTTTTATCTGTAGGACTCATAACATTATTTCACTACCTTCAGAAATGTGACAGTCTGGGAAGTGTTTACAGTGTTTTAGAGCAATTCAGCAGCAGACTTACTACGTTTTTTTTCATGCTACTTTCAATAAAAGACAGTACAGTCCACAAAAGGAGAAAGAAGAGCAGGAATTCATTTATACAGAAAAAACCTCACTTCCTAGAAGTTCGTATACAATTTTAATTCTTCTTCTTTCTCTGTCTTGTGTCTTCTTCTAGCAAAACGCTGCAGCTAAAATGCATTTCTACTGCCTGCATGTCAACCGCTAGATTTTACAATTTTCAGACACCTCTGTAAATATCTCCTCTTCCAAGAATTCTTTTTTTCCTTTCTCTAGGACCAGAAGTTCAGTCCTTAAACTTTTTCCCACATACCACACATAACTCCATTATCAGTAGTGTTACTGATTACAATAGCTAGGCTTTGTTGTCGAGATTTAGTCGTAAGAAACATGCAAAGCCTTGAACATTTCTGACCTGCCACTGAGTTCCCTCTTACAATACACAAAGTGCGGCCCTCAACTTACTTACCTAAGGAGTTGTGGGAAGAGGCTGAGGTGCCTAACATACTATCTTCTGTCTTCAGAAGCTCAGGCTGCTGGTGCTGAGGAGCGGTAGCGGATGAAACAAAAGACTGAGACAGCGATTGTGGAAGAGAACTGAACGGAGAGGTTGAAAGGGATGATGATGAATGTAAAGATGAGGAACGAACGAGAGAACCTGGAATACTGACAGGAGCTGAACTTCCCAGTAATCTCTGACCTATGTATGCATTAGGGGACAAAAGAAGAAAAAGGAAAAAAAAAGATTTATTCCAAAGCAGTACACAGCACTCTGTAAGTATTATTCTGAAAAAAAGTATCAAATGTATATTCAATTATATATTCAAATACGTCCCCTTAAAAAAGAACATTTTGTTTATCTCCTATTGCAAAGCCATTTTTTACATTAAACACTTGAAAATAATTTTCCAAGTGTCTGAAAACAGGATTTGTAGCTTTAGGCAGCAGTGGCCTCATCTGCAGCTACAAAGAAAGAGAAAACACTTTTCAGATCAAGTTATTCGACTTACTCATTTTTACAACCAAAAACTAATCAAGTGGAGAAACTGACTGAAACTTGAAAGGATGAAGAAAAATTGGGGTTTTATTTTAATATATAAGTACATACCTTGAAAATCATACACCGCATAATAATCAGACATAGTTCAATTTCTTTACATGCTTTTGTTCAGTAGATTTAAATGTCAACTGTACTTAGCTCTCTATGAAAACTGAGTTTGAAACAAATTAAAAATTAACAATAATTTAGTCAAAGATGCACTGTTCCTAATTTCCAGATATAACTATAATAATTAAAAATAGATATTTAAAAGAGAATGTTCAATCATGCAATCACTTAAATAAACCTGCACAGATGCAGTGCATTTTCATGGTCAAGTAACAGCTCAGTATTTACTATGAAGATTTTATCCATCAGTATGTTTGGATAGCAACTAAAAATGACATCACCTTTTATTTAAAAAAGTACAGCAGTCAAATAATTGCACCTAAAGCAAGAGTCATGATCCTAGTTTTCTGGTTTTGATTAAAAACACAGAAAACATCATTCCTTTTAGAAGTACCTCAAAACTAAAAGACAGAGATGCTGATTATTAGTTGCATTGCCACAATGTCTTCAGATTAATTTATCCTGAAATACTCAGCAAATGTTACCATGGTCAGCCTCATGACCAACTCTCTGAAAAAGATACAGGGCAGACATACAACCGCAGACGCACATAATATACTGGATAATGAATGAACAATGTTCTTCACAAGCAGAGCAAGGAAGCATCAGAGTGAAAGGGAGTTCAGTTCGAAAGATCTGTCCAAGTAAGAATTCTTACAAATCAGGGGCCAAAGTAAAGCCCCCAAACAAACACTGTATAAAATGCTAGCAGAAGAACCATCTCTCTTCTGGCTCTTAAAAGTAGTCTTCAAATCCAGCTGAATTTCGGCAAATACAAGCTGCCTAGAACTGTCCCCTTCCACTGCAAAGGAAGGATCTGGAGGAGGAGAAGTTTGAAGAATCTCTCTGGACATTTGTGTCATTTCTGAAAAGAATCAACTCACAGTTGCTTATAACACTTGATTTCCTGAGGGAGTGAGGGCACTTGATGTTCACTGGGGTCTAAGGGATTTTCATGTCTTAGGACAAAGCCTTGAATCCCTAATATTTAGGTACTGTCCTATCCACTACAGACCCAGTGACAGCTTACATACTGCAACATCATCAAATATATCTCTATTTTTGTTAAAGCCTGTGGACTAAAGATATATTACCTTAGAATTGTTGGAATAGACCTTTAAAATCATTGAGTCCAACCATTCACCCAGCAGTGCCAAGTCCACCACTAAAGCACGTCCCAAAGCACCCCATCTACACGTCTTTTAAATACCTCCAGGGGTGGTGCTGACTCCACCACTTCCCTGGGCAGCCTGTTCCCGTGCTTAAACAACCCCTTAGGGGAAAAAAATTTTGCTAACATCCAATCTAAACTTCCTCTGGAGCAACTTGAGGCCATTTCCTACTGTCAAAATGCTTGTTACTTGGAAGAAGAAACCAAGTCCCCCACCTTGTCACAGCCTCCTTTCAGGTAGTCGTAGTGAGCGAGAAGCGCTCCCCTCAGCCTCCTTTCTCCGGACTAAACAACCTCGGCTCCCTCAGCTTCTCCTCATAAGACTTGTTCTCTAGACTCTTCACCAGCTTCATTGCCCTTCTCTGGACATGCTCCTGCACCTCGACTTTTGTGTCATGACAGGCCCAAAACTGAACACAGTATTGAGGGTGAGGCCTCACCAGTGCTGAGTAGAGAGGGAGAAAGGAAGATAAATGGCATAATGTAGAGAGACACTAAGTGCAAGCTTTTCTTCTTTGAGCAACAGTCAGCAATAATAAACTTGGAATTAGCTATAGTTCTTTTACCCTTTGTGTCTAGAGCCACAGGGCAAGAAGGACATGAGAGGAACATATTTGCCATCCAAGAATACAGTTTTGTTTGCACAAGTGTAAGCTTAGCACATATGTAGAACCAAGTTAATCATCACTGCAGACCTTCAAAGAAATGCTAGCAAAACAGATATCAGAAAATAAATGGAAGTAGTATAAAAATGCATCTCTTCTCTTGCTCTATGACTTTCAAACGAATTAGGAAAATTATACTTACTCAGTTTTCACTTCCTATTTTTCAGTTATTTTTTCTTTTCTACTTTCACACCAAACCATGACATTTTCATTTCTTGATGTTCCTCCCCTTCAGCCTTCCTCTGTGCTATCACTTCCCTGCACTGTCTTCCTTTGCAATGTCTTCCTCTCCTGTTCTTTCCCTGAAGAGGCAAAATGGCTGAATACTTCCCAAAACACCTTCAGCTATATTGCTCCTTCCAGGTTAGATTCATAGAAAATTTAAGCCCGTAACTTGAAAGTATTAAAGTCCTAAAGGTTGCTAGCTCCTTCTCCTCAAGAATTTTTTCTCACTCTCCCTCTCAGCAACCACCCAACCATGGAAATACTTGTCAGTCTCCAGAGAACATACTGCCTACTGTCAGACATTTGCAGCACTCAAGATGCAGGCAGTGAAGCTCAGGCACAATGCCTTCCTGTAAAAGCATGTAAATTCTTCCACCTGCTATTATGCCCATGTGTCCACGTCATTAAGCTTTTTTTTAAAAAAAAACACCTAACAAAAAAAAAGAACAACCAGAATGTTTAATAGCCTGATCCCTTGAAAAATACAAACAGGACGATAGCAGTGCAATCCCTTTACACTACAAACTTAAAGATAAAAAAGAAAAAAAAAAAGCGCTTTCTTCAAAGTCTTTGCTGTCTGCTACTATTTTGCTGAGCAAAATTTTAGATAATTAATAAAGATATTTTAAATTAGTATAATTTTACAATTTATAATTAGACCTCTTACTTGCTAATCCAAGGTCACTGCTTTCTGGATCTTCTAGTTCTCTATCTATGGATGCGATGTTCACACCATTAAAATGCTAACATAAAGCAGAACCTGTTACACAAAACATTGTATCAATGAATTAACATTGAATTATCCATAAAACTAGCATGATGGATGAAATGAGGAAACTTTGACTATTTTTATTAGTGCTTCCATGACAGAACTCTTTTGCATGTAGGTCATGATCTTTCGCATACTGCAGACACATAGTGAAGGATATCCTCTGTATTTTCTAGAAGGGAATACTTTCATATATAAGCTTCATATTACAGCTCTTCAAGATGGTGAAATGAACATAAGATAATGGAGCAGTAGCTATCTCTCTGGATTTTCAGTAAATCTGTGTCACTTGCTGTGCTTAGATTTACATCAACAGAAGAAGACGAAAAATAAAATTTGGATACCTAAATGAGTTATGTATCAGGAAATACAGATGTTAAGTAATGTCAGTAAATTCAAATGAAAATGTGCAATATTGTAAGATAAAGCAAAAATTAAAAAATCAGTATTTCATTTTGACTCAACAGTTAAACTGCCTTCATTTTAAGGCTTATGTCTAAAATCTCTCTGGGCAATGTCATGAAAAAGTTCTTCTCAGTATACTTCTTATGAGTTCCATGGCTTACACTGTTCAAAGATAGACATTTCTTCCCTTCTTCTGCTTAACTACTTTTCTACACAGAAAGGGAGTGTAATTAAGGAATTTATTTCTCTGTACCTATACTTTAACTACTACTGAACAACTGCACAGTCAGGAATACAGGCAAGAAGTATGCATAAATACTGATTTTACAGGTAGGAAATTGACTGTCCCAGTCAGCATGGTCAGTGATAGTGATCACCTTTGTAAAGAATTTTTAGAATCTAAGTTGAAAATCATTATTAAAAACTGGCACAAAGCCTAAATGAGTTGAAATCGAACAAACAGAAATAAAAGGCACACTTTTTCGTGTAAAAGTTTTGAGGAGATCCAAAAGGGATCTGATTGCTCTCTCATAGCTAATCCTAAACCTTAGGCTCTCCAAACTGAAGAAAAGCTTTGGCAGAAGTACTCGACAGTTGTAAAACTGCTGGAAGTCAGAAACTGAGAAGACCATTTGGATCTTTAATGCAAGATCAGTGCAGTGTTTCTATACACAAGCATTTTCTAAGGCTGACTAGGCTACCAGGCTTCACAGTCTCACAGCTTCAGCTAACCCATAAAAGGAGTTACTGACCTAGGAGCAGGATCCACAGAACAGTACTCAACAGGAAGCTGCCTAAACTGTCCAGAACAAAATACCAGCCAAGAGATAAAGTTCACATACAACACAGTGACATTCACGACAAAGTACCTGAGAGGTACCATACTCTTTTTGAAGAGTTACTAGTCTGGGTCTCAAAAGTAAAACAACTTTTTTTTGGAGTTGTGCCCAAACAATAATCCTTATCTTTCAGCAGTACCGACAAAGTATCTTGGCCTCCAACAGTCAGAGGGAGAAACCTCTCTCCGGATCATCAATTCGGCCTGAAGGGATATGCCCTAGCTTTTCAAAGTTTTCCAGCAATAACCTTCTTTTGGAGACAGGTGCCTAAGCCAGTCCTTCTATACAATGCAGTTAGGAGGGGGTAGCTGGCCTCCTTTTATCTGATGACTCAAGGCTTAGACGGGCCATAAGCACTGCGTGAAAGCCAGATTAAAAGTTCCTCTTCTATACTGGGTTTTGGATCTCGATCGCTGCACTGCACCTTTCCTTCCTTTTATATAGATAAGAGCCTTTCATCTGCAACATTGTAGGCTGCCTGTCCTGCCTTTTCACCCAGTTGCTCTGGTAACTGCCCTGAAGACTGGAAGGCACAGGTTTTCTTTCTTGTTCTCTTACTCACCGTTTCGTTAAGCTCACCATCTGGCACCTGTCAACACTCAGAGCATTGTTATGGTAGGTTCTCAGGGGAAGCGACTGCCACTGTGTCCTGGGTGCAGCTAGGATGGGGTTAATTTTCACTAGAAGCTGGGAGGGTGCAAAGGTCTCTCTGGAGCCCTCTGTTCAGGTTGGTGTCATGTTATATGCTATCTAGTTAATTGTTGATACCAATCTAATTATTGTTGTTACTGTTGTTCCTTGGATTTTTTCCTCTTTTATTTTATGTTTACTATTAAAACAGTTCTTATCTCAACCTGTGAGGATCCACCTACTGCTCCTTGTGGGTTCTCCTCCTCATTCCTGGTGCGGGGGGAGCGAGTGACTCCATGGTTCTTTGTTTCCCTGCTGGGCACTCGGCTCTGAACCAGGACACACTAGTGTGAGAAGTGCGCTTCCTTTCTCCTCTTCTCCTACTCCTAAGAGCAGCTTTTGAATCACATTTGAGGAACCCTTTATTTTTGGACACTGCTCAACAACCAGCACACACAACAGCATGATGAGGCCTTTTACAGGCAGCTGTCAGCA